GCGCACTCCTGTTAATGTCAAATGCGCTATGTTTTATAGTCTGCTATGGTGGGCGGAATGAGATGACCGCCTATGAAGGGGCAGTCACTATTTTGCTACTTTGGGGCGCTTCCACATAGTACCTTGGAAACGGCTTTTCGGCACTTGGTTGGGAATGTTTTATAGTTCGCATAAGCAATGCTGAGCAGGAAATGGTCAGAAGTTAACCCATCCATTCACCTCTGCTTCGCAGAGGCTCGCACTGGCCCTACTATCTGTAAACCTTACTCATTCTCGCACAATAATGACATTGGAGCTCACCGCGCTATGCGAACTATCACGAATGATTTGTAAACAACTATTCATTCCAAAAGCTTTTCCATATGAAATCGGTAATTTCGCATGAACGAAACTTTTCTCGAAAGAACAAATGCAAATTCGAGTCGGTTTTTGGACTATGGCTTGATATTCGCGATAGAATGCCATAATCACCTGGGCTACATATCTGTGCAAAAATCTTCTCAAACGATCGGGTAAAATTTTGGCAAATTGAACATTTACGCAATCAATTCTTTTTGGCGCCGTTTTCGCAAAGTAATAAACTTTAGTCCAATTTTTTAGGCTAAAGACCATGGCTTGCACATTAGATTATCAAACATATCCGTGAATTTGCAAAAAGTTGCGCTACAGACTCAATTTTACTGGCCAAAAGTGGATCCGGTTGATGCGCATTTTTTGAGGGATCCACACAACGGATCCGCTCGTGCTTTTGTATAGTAGACTCTCATGTTGGTAGCAGGCGCTGTGCAAAATTTGGGCTCAGGAGATTGGCTGGAACACGTTCTACGAATTTCGTGACAGACAGACAAACTTACACACACACACACACACACACACACACACACACACACACACACACACACACACACACACACACACACACACACACACACACACACACACACACACACACACACACACACACACACACACACACACACACACACACACACACACACACACACACACACACACACACACACACACACACACACACACACACACACACACACACACACACACACACACACACACACACACACACACACACACACACACACACACACACACACACACACACACACACACACACACACACACACACACACACACACACACACACACACACACACACACACACACACACACACACACACACACACACACACACACACACACACACACACACACACACACACACACACACACACACACACACACACACACACACACACACACACACACACACACACACACACACACACACACACACACACACACACACACACACACACACACACACACACACACACACACACACACACACACACACACACACGTAAACATCCTTAGCCCGTTATTATTATTAGTTACCAGTGCGTCACCTCTGCTTCGCAGAGGCTCGCACTGGCCATATTTTCTGTATGCCTTACTCATTCCCGCCTAATAATGACATTGAAACTCACCGCGCTATGTAGGCTATCACGAATAATTCGTAAACAACTACTCATTCGTAGAGGTTTTCATGTGAGATCGGTATTTTGCGTGGATAAAATCTTCCCCAGAAGAACAGATGCAAATTTGAATAGGTTTTTGGAATTTTTATGGCTTGGTAGTCGCCGTAAGGACAATAAACATAGTGGGCTACATTTCTGTGCAAAAATATTCTCAAATGATCAGGTAAAATCTTGAAAAATTGACCGTTTACACAGCGAATGCTTTTTGGCGCTATTTTCGTAGAGTAGTAGACTTTTCGTTACTTTTTTAGGCTAACGCCCTTGGCTTGCACATTAGCTTGTCAAATATATCCTTAACTCTACAAAAAGTAGTACTACGGTCCCAAATTTCCTGGCCAGAAGTTAAGTGGATCCGTTTGACGCGCAATTCCCAATGGATCCACTCAACGGATCCGCTCATGCTTTTGTATAGTGAACTTTCATGCTGATAGCGTGCGCTATGCAAAATTTGGGCTCAGGACGTTGGCTGGAACACGCTCTACGAATTTCGTGACAGACAGAGATTCACACAGATAGACAGACAGACAGACAAACGTAAACAACCCTTAGCCCGTTATTATAAGTTATGATGATCATTGGACTCGTCTTCAAACGATGATTTCAAGTATACGTTTATATGTGCCGAACGACTATGGATGAGTTACTTGCATTCAGATGTGTGGGTTTGCTGAGTATTCTGTAGCGCACGTTTCAGAAAAAGTTTAACAACTCCTTGTTTAGGTTCCTGGTTAATGTGCTTCTCCTTGTAATTAGAATAGTCATAATCACTGTGATTACCTGCCCTCAGGCTGCCTTGCAACGAATTGTAATCGTTGGTGCTTGAACAGTTTTTCATATCTGAACGCGCATAACTCCTTCCATAAAGTCGTTCGGCAGATAATAGAAACGCATTTGAAATCAGCGTTCTAAGTCTCCGACGATATATCGCCTTTTGGATTGGCTGGGTTAAGTTCTGACCATTCCCTGCTGAGTCATTGAGTTGGCTAATAAATAATTCCGTATTGGCACACAAATATGTACAATTTATAGGCAAGATTTTGTGCGAGAGCTTTTCCAAGCTTCCACTTTCACACATTATATTCGACGATTTCCGTCCTCGATAAATGACGATTGCGGTATATGTAACCAGCATTGTGAAAACTATTTTTGATTTTCTAAGGTCGTATGCACGTACATCCCCGTGGGAAGGGGAGGGGATCTGAGAGGGGATGCGCCATATCTCGCTACTCTAGGTATCTTTCTTCTTCCTTTTCTATCTTGCTTATGAAGGTTCCCATACCCTAATACCTGCGCATAATTGAGTAAATTTTCACTATTTTGTGTAATCCCCTGAAGATCCCCACGAGATCCCCAGGGGATCACCTCTCGATTTCAATGCCATTTATCTTTTTAAACTCAATGAAACGCGCTGTTATTGTACTGTAGATATGCTACGGCACTGCTAAAGATGTTTATAGTAGAAATAAGTGATCTCAGAATATCGAAGTCTTCGGTGATCCGTAGCTCGCGAGCTAGAGATCATCGAAAAACTCACAGTCTTCAGATTCCCTTTCTCCTTTCGAAAACATGCTTAGAGCGCCGTAGTATATCCACAGCACAATTTCACAGCGTTTTCATTGACTTCTCGGGAAGATAAATCACTTTGAAAATGAGAGGTGATCCCCAGAGTTCCCCTCGAGATCTCTGGGGATCTCAATGGAAGTAACCTGGCATCCATTATGCGCAGATACACTTGTATAAAAACTTTATAAGCGAGATAGAGGAAGAAGAAGAAAGATACGTAGAATAGCGAGATATGACGCATCCTTTCTCAGATCCCCTCCCCTCCCCAGTGGGGATGTACGTGCATACGCCTAAGTCTAGTCTCTAGCTACTCAAATTATTTACTAGTCAACTCAATACCAATACTTCCTCTGCAATCTATGCTTTCGTACTGTTTTGCTGGAAAAGTCAACCATCATATTGTAAGAGAGTGAGAGTGTAAGAGAGTGAGAGTTTTGTAAGAAAGACTGAGAGAGTGAGTGCTTGAATTTGACTCTTGCTGACTCATCCATTACAGGGCGTGACTGAAGGAAACCTGAGACTCGGAGAGAGGACTCGCGCAGCTGCCCGAGATGGTCGGGCAACGCCACCTGCTCCATCGGCCTCCTTCAACCCCATGATCCTACCGGTCGTCGCTTCCCCTCGTCATACCTACTTCCGTATCAACCTGCCTTACTGTCGTCTCTCATATGCTGATATCGGTGCAATAAACCATGTAACCTGCCAGTGACTAATAAACTATCTATTCGCAAAGTGTATCTATGTTTCACGCTTCCGGGCGCAACGTTGACTGGTAGCAGCGGTGTTTTCCATCGCCCGACGAGGATGGGCGGACAGGTAGGTTAATTTGCATGCATGCTCTGCTTATCTTAGTTGCATTATTTTGCCTATTGGTTAACGTGATGAAGAGCAGGGGCCTCATTTTTTTTTTTAAATTTTCGGCGCCTAAATCATAGACCACTGCGCCTCACCACGTTTTCATGCATATTTTCATTTCATCACGCTTTCGCTTTTGCTTGAACCTAGTCGCTCTACATTGCGCGCATATATTTTGCTTGTGAATCAGGATCTTCTGTGAAGACCTGTACTGCCGGCTTTAGTGCAAATCTTTGCCGCATTTTTGTTGTGTGTCTGGCACCCGGGATTTATCAGCGATCGCTCATGTCTAGTGGCTTCAAAAAGTAGCAGTAGAAATGGTTCCGACAGTCAGATTTGGATGGATTTGATAAGCGGCAAAGTGAGGTTATCCGCGGTTCATAGTCAATGGTCGGAGCCGGGTGCCAAATAGCAGTAAGGATACGTCTACCTTACCAGGGCCGTATGCCCAGTTTTCTAAACTCAAATGTCTTATTACTGTATTTGACAAGTCATCATTAGTTGTTTACTGCTGACAGCGCGGGGCGCGCAGCTGCACACTCGCTCGGCTCTATTCAAAGATGTTGCCTTTTTGCTTCGCGAACAAAAAGGTTCCTTCATGTCCTCTGCCGCACAGATGACAGTCTTTTTGCCTTTTCGAACCGAATCATGGCTTCGTCAAACGCCACCTGCACCCCTTCCGCAAATTTCTTCACTTACTTTTCAATTTCTACAGTATTCACTTCGCAGATGGCAGTGACTTTGCACTTTTTCGAGGGTCGAACATCGTTGCAGCTGCGCTGAGACATCTTTTTCCTTAGAACAGCTGGATATGTAGGAGATATAAGCCCTTCCCCCATTCACCGTCACCTCACTCCACCATCAGTTTCGGTCAATGCCTCATCGACGTCACTCTCCTTTTCAATTCAAGCGTTTGCCTCTTCCAAGCCACTCTGAACTTCGAGATCATACTTCATTCGTCTCTGTTGTCGTTTCTGTAGGTCCAGACAGCCTTCTCACTGCCTCCATTTCAGATCCTTCTCGCTTATGCCGCCTCCAACGACTCGCGCTCGTGCACCATCATCTGATACCGGGGCCCATCCCCAGTTTTCTAAAATAACACCTAGTGCTCCTGCGGCACCACAGGTTGCCGCAGCAGTATCGGCGTCGTTGGCCCACGTGGTCGACGATGGCCCCGTCACAGGGCGGGACGTTAAGGAATTGCGCGACGTTACGGCGCAAGCGATCACCGATGTGTGGACTGACAGCCGCCAGGCAACGGCAAACTTGGCTGGGAAAATCAACGCTACAAACGCATCGCTCCTAGCAGACCTCAACGAGTCTTTTTCGGCAATGGGTCATCGGATCGACGGGCTTCCATCCGCAGTAAATATCACGACCCCGATCCCGATCCCCTCGCTTCCGTCCTTTAGTGGCTTAGATGAGGACCCAACTCAGTTTTCAGCATGGCTGGCTCGGGTGGAGGATATTTTTGACATGTTATCGCCGCCTTTATCTTCTGCGATGAAAGCCAAGCTAGTAAAGGGGCACCTTCAGGGGCTAGCTAGGGAAAAATTGAACCAGTTAACATCTGAGCAGCGCGACGATTACGATACGCTAGTTGCCGAGTTGAGAAAGAGCTTTGAGGGGCCACATCGTCGTCGTTTAGCCCGCCAGGCCCTCGCGGGATGCCGTCAACAACCCGGAGAGTCTTGCTTCTCGTTCGCTAACCGCATTCTCCACCTAGTACGAGCTATTACCGCGGGTCAGGACCCGGTCCTCCAAGAGGAACGCCTCTTGGAAGAGTTTGTTAGTCGCTTGCGCACTGACATCAAATTTCATGTTCGTAACAGCAATCCAACTTCCTTTCAGCAAGCTTTGGATACTGCCGATGCGGTCGAGCAGCACCTCGCAGGAACAATCTCGGACCGCCTGATCACGCCCTTGTCCGTGGCACCACTGGAAGTGAAGACCGTGAATCTTCGTCCCACTAGGCCAAGTTTTCGTATTCGTGAGCCACAGGTGTCCCGTCGAAGCAATTCATTCCAGGGCCGAAGACGCTCCCGCAGCATGGTCGATGTTATTTCGCGGTTTAATACCGATCGTACTGTCTGTTATTCTTGTGGAGGCCTCGGACATATGGCTCACCAGTGCCCATCCCAACGTCAGCAGCTTGGAAACACAGGTAAGCGTTTTGTTCCCAACAATCGTTTCTCTCGCCGTTCTTGTTCACGTCGCTCACCCGCACCTCCTCGTTTGAACGTGGCTGCTCCTGATCCCAATCATGAACTTTCGGAAGCACGCAAGCAAATCGAATGTCTTACGCTTTCACTCCAAGAAAAACAATCTGCACTTGACAATTCTGATGCCCGCGTCTCCGCGCTCATGCAAAGAAATGAGAAGCTAGCCCACTCTACTTTTGGTCAACCTGTCTCTACATCTAAATCCAATTCTAATTTATTTCCAAAAGTCAGTTTGCTTCTTGCTTCTCTAATGGTTCTCATCCCTTCTTGTGCCCCCACAGCCCTCAATGCACCCGCCTGGCTTTGCCCAAGGGATCTATCGGATGTTGTTGCTAGAATCCCTCTATCGTACAACTGTTCGCGCATTATCCCCCAGACTGGCACTCTTCTCGCACCCTTGGTAGTGCATGTTTTTCGACCTAACACTCAGCGCTATGATACTCTTGCCCATTTATGCAAGATCGTAACTCAAACCATTCACTATTATGTCAATTTCTTTGGAGCGCGCACTGAATCTCGTACTGAGGTGCATGAGGTTGTCTCCTCTGAGACCTGTAGACATATGCTTCTGTATCATAAATGCACTCATGGCACTTTGACTCCCCACGATGACAACAAATTTTGGTCTACCGCTCATGAGTTTACATTCGAATGGCCGTCCGCTCCGTTCGGTTGTTGTGTCACCCACCAAGTATCAGTCACTAATTGCTATCTCATCAATACCACGATTCATACCCGTCACGGCACTGACTACCCGGACTCCACAGTAGGAGACCTACGCAGTTGTCCCTATTCCTCCGGCAATTGCCCCCTACCCGACGGCTCCATCCTCATCTGGACCCCCAACACAGAAGAAGCTTGCCAATACGTCCCCGTTTCCAGAATGAGCGGACATGTCCTAACGGATGTATGGATCAGTGACTCGAAAGAGTTTGCTCTTTCTTGGCATGTAGGAAGCACGCAACTTACCGACTGCGGCAGAGAACTTATTGTGACAGACCAGGGTTACGCCGTATTAGTCAAGCGTCGGACCCGCCGCTCTATGACTCCCGTTGGCGTAGTAACATCCAACCAGTTAGCGGCACAACTTCTTGCTGTCGAAGATAGCGTAGAGCTGGCAGTCTCATCTCTTTTCCATCATGCTCTTACAGCCTTGTGTGACCGTACCAACCTTCTTGCGCTGGCACTTCACTCGTCTCTTTCCACTAACCCGACGTCTACCTTGCGATCACTGTTGAATCGTCACGATGTGGCGGCATCCTACTTGGGAAATGGTTTGATCCAGATACACCGTTGCCTCTCAGTACCTCCTCAAGCCTTCAAGATCCTTCCTTTCAATGGCTCGTGTTTTTCTAAGCCTTCGGTGGAACTCAATCTTAAATCCGGCATGATTTTGCGCCTGTTTATTGATCCTTCTACAATGGTCATTTCAGGAGAGGCGGTATCGGTAGATTGCCACACTGTCCCTCACTTCTTTTTCTCATTTCTCGATGTCTTTCTTCGCTTTGACACTGTCTCGGGTAGCTTCTTTCCCATCCCCCACATAGAAACTATAGGATCCTCTTCTCAGTTGAATGCTTCAGCCATAACACTCCCGCTTACCATCTTCCACAATCTGGTATTGACAAACCTCAGTGAAATCACACAAGACCACCAACTCACCGAGGTGTGGTCTACCGTTAATCAGGAACATTTCCTTCGTCTTGACCACCCAACCTCTCCTTACAGAGGCACCCTTCAGCAGCCAACCTCCGACGGCTTCTCCTTGCTTTCGCTTGTCTTCGGTAAATGGTCATCGTTCGACGTTTGGGTCACAGCTTGCTGCATCATCACATCTCTAGGGGTTCTAAAGTCACTCGTGGTCCTATATTGCAAGCTCTACTACTCTACAATCTTCGATCGACTCCCATTACCTGCGCATTTTCGTTCATCAAGGTTCGAGGCACCCAGAATTCACGAACTACACCCGTCTGCACCGCGTCTATCTCCCATACCTCCTGCACTCCCCCCACCCATTGAACTAGCAGAACTTGCAATAGACTCATCGACTGCGTGGCCACCTCGCGCATCCCTCACTTCGGTTAACATGCTAACTCTTACCAGTGCCACACATTTCTTTGTTGCTCAGATACCAATCAAAGTTAACAATGTTCACATCTTGGCACTTGTGGACACCGGAGCTGCCATCACCATAACGTCTTGCAGCAAAGCAGCGCTACTTGGTGTTTTCTCTACGATTCCCAGTGACATCCCATTTGCACTCGGTATGGCGGGCATACCCATCAAGTTAGTCGGTCGAGCATGCCTTCGCTTCCAAGTTGGGCCCGTTCAGTTGGATCATCATGTTTACTTCACCGAAGCCGCTTGTATTCCTGAGACAGCCAACTCCTATAACATCATCATGGGCAACGACCTCTTGTCTCGTTTACCCACCTGGACCATCGATTATCACCGGAGAGCCTTTCACTTCACAGATCACGCGGTAAACATCCCTTGCTCCGCCCCGCCCCTTTCAGAAGGCACGGCCACGCCCATTACCGTACGCGTAGCGGAGACTACCGTACTTCAGCCTCAAACCGAAACGTTTGTTACTTGTATCACAGATTCTACTCCGGCATCTTCAATAGTTCTCTCGACACAGTCCGATGGCCTGCTTGACAAAAACATAATGATTACTCCAGCAGTCCTCGTCCCGGGTAAAGTCCAACTTCTAGCCACGAACCCTTCACATATGGCGGAGGTCCTTTACAAGGGTCAAAAGATCGCCACAGCCTCGCCCTTTCTGGAAAACGAAGACTGATCTCTGGCAATATCTCCACAGTGGTTTTAGCAACGCTTCTGCCACAGAAGCTGTTGCCAACAGGGCCATTTGCCCAGTTTTCTCAAATAACATCAATACTTTCCACGTAGACCTTTCCAAGGCCGAGGTCACCGACGAGGAACGGCAGCAACTTCAGGCCCTTTTCGAAGAATTTAGCGACAGGATTTCACACGACTCATACGACCTAGGATCATACGAACATTCACAGATTGACATCAGAACCACCACCAACATACCACCCACGCGTTTTCGACCGCCGCGAATACCTGTTAAATTTCAGAAAGAACTCGATGAACATATAAACAAGCTTCTGCGAGCCGGTCGCATTGTTGAGAGCGACACTCCGTGGATACACAACACTGTTCTGGTCAAAAAGAGGGATGGGTCGCTTCGCGTGTGCCTAGATTTCCGCCCATTGAATGAGATAACAATCCCGGACCATTTCCCGCTTCCGGGAATAGAGGACATATTAGCCAAAATCTCCGGCCACAGGTACTACACGACTTTGGATCTCGCCTCCGGCTACATGCAACTCCTGTTATCCCCCGAAAGCCAGGAAAAGTGCGGCTGGGCCACCCACCGAGGGATATACCAATTTGTCTATCTACCTTTCGGACTAAAAAACGCCGGCGCTTACTTTTCTCGGGCAATGTCTCGTATCCTAGCGGGTTTGGAGGATAACTGTCTTGCATATCTTGACGACATTGTGGTTTTCAACTCCGACTTTCCGAGTCATCTGTCCACATTGCGCAAAGTCTTCTACCGCTTTCGCATCTATAACATCAAAGCTTCTGGCAAAAAGCTTAGTGAGATTGCGCGCACTACGATAACCTTTCTAGGGCATGAGATTTCCGGACGATCCTACTCTCCAGCGGAGCGAAACCTTCGAGCAATCCAAGACTTTCCCACTCCAACATCGATCAAGGAAGTCAAGGCATTTGTAGGTATGGCCAACTTCTTTCGTAAATTCATTCCCAATTTCTCCCTTATCGCTACTCCTCTCTACGCGCTTTTAAAAGCTAACGCTAAGTTTACCTGGGAAGCCGCGCAGAAAGAAGCCTTTTCCCGTTTGAAGACTTGCCTGTTATCCAAACCTTGCTTGGCATTTCCTCAAGATAAGGAATTTTTTCTGCATACGGATGGCAGCCAGGTCGCCGTAGGGGCAGCGCTTTTCCAACAGGCAAGCGACAGCGACCACCTAGTCGCTGTAGGTTATTTTAGCAAAGCATTATCCGACTCTCAGCGTAAGTGGAGCCCTACCCATATTGAACTCTTCGCCATTATTAGTGCCTTACGTTTCTTTCGCGCCATTATTTACGGGAATCACACCACGATCTATTCCGACCACCGCCCCTTGACATTCTTGCTTACGCACAACAAGACGCACGACAACTTGGCCAGATGGGTAGTGGAACTCCAAAGTTACGATATCACCATCAAGTATCACAAAGGCTCATCCAACGTAGTCGCCGATGCCCTTTCGCGTTCCGTAGATAAGCACGTTCGCTTCGAGGACGACGCTGCCGATAGTACTGACATCATCGAGTTTCCAGTAAGTATCAACTGCTGCGCTCCCCCTACCTTTTCTGTCAGGCCACCCATCATTTACCTGACCCAGGCCACGGCTTTGCGACCATACGACGCACTATTAGAACAAAAAAGCGATGCGTTTTGCTCCCCGCTCATGACCTTTCTGGAAACTCAACGCTTTCCCGACAACTTGTCTGACGACGAAAAAGTAGCTTTTCTGAAGCTTGCTGAACAGTGCGTACTCAGAAGTAATGGGTGCTTGTATCACGTACACGGCGATCGCAATAGTCATTTGAAGTTTGAACGCTTGGTTGTACCAGAAAAGTTGCGCGAGCCGGTCTTCATAGCCTTCCACAGTAGTCCCTCGGCTGGCGGTCACTTTAATTGGCGCAAAACATTGACAAAAATCGCGCGGAAATACTACTGGCCACACATGTCCGAAGATGTCTTTTCCCTCGCCCGCTCCTGCGAGGCATGCCAGCGTAAGCGAGCCCAACAGCTGAACAGGGAACTGCTCATCACGGTTTCTAGTCAGGGCGTTTTTGAGAAGGTTTACATAGATCTGACCGGTCCCTTTCATACCTCGGATTCGGGAAACAAGTATATCGTCGCGATGATCGATCATTTTACCAAATATGTTGTCGCAGCGCCTCTACCTGACTGCACCGCCGTAACAGTTGCACAGGCTGTCATGACGGAGTGCATCCTCAAGTACGGCGCCATGAGGCAGCTGATTTCAGACAATGCATCTTACTTTAAGGGAGAGGTAATCACTGAAATCGGCCGGCTCCTTCGCATCAATCACTATTTTACCACCCCCTATCACCATGAAGGCAATGGGGCATGTGAAAGGGTCTTTGCGACATTCCATCCCATGCTTCGCACATATATCAGCGAAAATCAGTCGGATTGGGACAAATACGTTTCAGCCTGTACGTTCATGTACAACACTTCGATCCATAGCAGTACTAACAACACACCGTTTTTCCTTATGTTCGGTAGAGACCCCACTTTCAACATCGACTTGCTCATTAAACACGACTTGGAGCGTCATACTCCAACAGATAATGACGCCAGCATCTACATTGAAAATCTGGTCGCAACTCTTCAGCCGCATGGCGGTCGGCAGCAGCCTACAACCAAGATCAACGCGAACGCTTCAAGCGCCAGCATGACAACGCCTTAGCCCACCCTCTTTCAATCAAGGTAGGTGACCGCGTCTTTCTCAAAGATTTCGCGCCTAAGGTGGGTCTTTCCCAAAAACTTTGTAATCCCTGGCTTGGGCAGTTCCGAGTGGTCGCCGTCCAACCACCTCACCTCACGCTTACTAGCATTTCGGCTCCCCACTCGCCTCCCAAAAAAGTACACATGAATCAGGTCAAGAAATGTTTCTCATTAGAGGGCCCCGTGTTCACGACACCATGGCTCCCAGATGCAGAACAGAGGGCGCTATCCACGGCTAACGCTGTTGATACTGAAATACCCGGGCGCTCCTATGCTGTCGCACCCCCCGCAGAAACAGACGTTAACCCTAAACCAACACACCAATACAACACTCGTTTCAGATCTCGTCGAGCATCGCACTAATCTCCATATGAGGACGTCGTCATGGTATTCCTATCCTATTAGTATTCTCGCTACTAACACACCGTTTTTTTAATCTTCAGTTGGACAACATATGCACCGTTTCCGAATCTCACTTCCTCAACTTTTTCACTAATGTTGCTTCTGTCCTCACTTTCACAAAGTTTTGGTTGCATCACAAAATACTAACTACAACTCAACCTTTCATATCTCGCCTTCACTCAGTGACTCCACTAACAACTTTTGTTCGCCGTGTTGCGCATGAATTTGTTCATGTAACAACACTTGCATACAAGCACAGTGTTCCCTTTTCAGATTCGGGTAGACCTAACTCGTGGTCATTTGGCAATGGACGATCTCTCTCCACAGCAGCAGTTGGAGGCATTAGGTAGGTGAATTTTGTTTTTCGGGCCGTTTGCCCAGACACCCAAACTATTACTAAAACTACGAATTCGTAGTTGCTCACGCGCTGGCCAGGGATGAAAACCCCGATGCTACACAACAGCAGCAAGAACAAGCGTCAGGTAGGCCAATTCCTTTCCGGAGCTTTCTGTCTAGATGCACAATTATGACTTGCGCTTCACTGGGGTAACGTCACCGAAGTTTTCTTTAGACACCAGCTCCTCCGTCATGCAAAATGTCTACCTTGACTACCCGGAAGAGGCGCTCCTTGCCTCCGACGTTGAGTCTATGAACCTCTCACCTGCGTCATCTCTCACCTTGACCGCGTCTCCGCCTCCGGGACCTTCCACCGACACCCAGAACCTGCTCATCGTCCCCGTCCCCTCTACAGAGGAAGCCAAGTGGACCACAGTAAGAGACAAGCCGCCAACCAGCACCCCTTCCGGATCCCCCCACGGAAGCACGCGCCGGCGGCGCGCCTCCTCCCCTTTGTTTGCTGAAGAGATGCTTCACGAAGAACCCCTCGCCGTGCCTTCCTCATCGTCTTACCACGACCACCCTTTTGACATCCCTGCCCAGCCGATTCAGGATGACATCGTCAGTCTTCGTGAGCGCCTTTTCAACACTGACATGCAGGGCGTAAGTCTACTCAGACCTGGAACTCGGCCCCCTATCAAGCACGTCCTCACGCCGCAACGCCGTCCTCCCCCTACGTTCACTCCGGAAGGACATAGCCATTACCTAATCGAACACCATCCCTGGGCGCATCTGGTCAGCCCGCGCCCTATCGACGTGCTCCAGTCAAGAGCCATACAACCGGTCCTCGATCTCCCGACGGAAGAATATCGACATCTACCCAGCGGAGGATATCGCAACACTCACTTCGCACGGTCACTCTTTCCGCGTATTGCGATTCGGGCCCATTGCCCAGTACTCCAAATTCCTTTCATTGAACTTCAGCATCTTGAAGATACGATCGCGTTCCGGGACCGAACCCTTCGCATGATCGAAGACCTCCAGGACGGCACCTATGATGACTTCCGCGAGATCGACTCACCAGTACAACCCGATCGGCTACGCTGTATGCTTGCTCCAGAGACCTGGCGAGGCCGTCGTCCAGTATTGTATCAAGTTGTCTCCACCGGCTGGCGCAACGGAGTAATCCTAGAGGCCAAGGACTTCTTTTTGCCAGGACCTGACGGACGTGAGCTTCACTGCATTATTCTCGACTACGACGCCATCAACGTCACCTCCGGTCAGCAGGGTTTGGATAGAGGCCTCATTGCCGTTAAGGATTTTGTATGGGTGTATGCCGTCAAACCAACGAGACAAGCGTTTACGCACCCGGAGGGAGCCTTGGAGAGAGCCCGTATCCCACGCACCACCGCGCTCGACAACAACTCGGTCTACTACTTCAAAGTGTCGCATTACGCTTTTGTCACTCCTCGTGAACGGGATGATCGCGTTTACGGCCTCGTCCTTTCGGTCAAGAGGCGACGTACGGGAGTTAACTCTTTTAAAGCTGCCTTTGAAGGAGCTCCGGATGGCATAGTCGTTCCCAATGGGATCTGCCGCTTCGACATGCAGACCGTGAAGGAGGATGAATTTCTTATCGCCGACACTCGCTACAACGCATCCTCCGCAATGCGCTTTTCTGAGCCTCCAGCTTCTCTCACTGCGCGCGACCAGCTCTGCCAGCTCATCACCACGTTTCTCCCCACTCACCCAGCGGAAGCAATTCGACCTATACGAGTCTATAGGCCCAACAAAGAAGAAAGGGAGAGGCTACTTGATCGCGCTGACAGGTTCGACAACTTTGAGAGTGACCATTCGGTTGCGCTAATCAAGATGTTGAAACTTTTCAATGTAACAGGAGCCGCGCATGCAGCACTTCCTTTCCTATCCGACGATCACCAAACACACTGGGTTGCTGCCGTAGTCCCAAGTCTCACCGTATATACCATCAGGTTGAATTTTGTGCTCCACAACATGGCAAACGAAGCCGGATGGGCTGCTCAACGCCCAGTTGCAGTGTGGATAGCCGGCTCCGCTTCCCTTGCCTTCGTAAGAGTTAGGTCAGTGACGATGGATCCCGATCAGAGGACATTAGCAATCTCAACGGAAGCCTACCAGTACTCGCACCGCAGCATCCTGGGAGATGTCGCTAAGCACGCACGTCGCGTAGGCCCAAACTTGGTCGTCGACGTCGGAGTACACCTCATTAAATCCCCGCTAGCCTCTAATCCGGTCTACGAAAGTATATCGCGCGCGGATCTCTCTATAACCGCACCAGCAGGTACATTTGGGGATGGAGTAATGAATGCCATGTACGGCCGCGCACGAATAGGTTGCTCTCCTCGACATTCACAGGTACCCGTCTCCACACAGCTCACAAGCACCTCCTTCTCCCTAAAGGGACGTCGGATCAGCCTCAACGATGACCAGCAGAAGGCCATATCCCTCGCGTTCACCGGTTACCCGGTAGTTGGAATTCAAGCCGCTTTCGGAACGGGCAAAACAGTTATAGGCGCGCTTCTTGCAGCACACTTATGCAAAGCAAACATCTCCGTGATAGCGACCTCGACGACGAATGCAGCAGTCGCCCAGTTTGCGGAAACGTTCCTCGCGCTAGACGACTTCAAGGATGTGCCCATGGTCCGATATGTTTCGGACTCAGCGACCGCAGCTGAAAACGCCTATGCCACCCCTAGCGACTTGAACGTCATACTCAAAGGACTTGGAGAGAAGTACGAGGCAAAGATGACATCAACAGAAAGAAATCGCTGCCACGAGTTCAAAGAAGGAAGAGATGTCCTAGAACAGGCCTTGAGGGATCCAGAGCGCGCGCTTCAGATGTCGGAGGAGCAGAGCGAAGAATGCTACATCTCGGACAAGTATGTTTCACGCAATCTCCAAAAAATGGTCGATTTGATGTTTCGACTTCATGCACCGGCAGTGATATTCGCGACCACGTCATCGCTGATTAACATCATAGGGCCGAAGGGAATATTTCGGAAGCACATGTCCAGGTTTTCTGTCTTGATTGGCGACGAGGCGTCCCAAATTCCCGAACCAGTAGTCGTCACGCTGGCCATGCGTCTACCGACGGTGCGCCACGTCTACATCGGAGACGCGCACCAACTCCAACCGCATGTCAGATGCCCGAGGTCTTCGAACATGGCGATCTTCGGGGCGCGGAGTGTAATGGAGATACTGATGAAGGCGCGCGCAGTCCCGATCGCCCCTCTGCGCACAACGTTTAGAGGTCATCCGAGTCTACTCGAACTCCCCAACCGCGTCGCATACTCTGGCGCCCTGGTATCAGGAGTGCGGGCAGAAGAGCGCCAAATGCTTCTCACGGCAATGAAGTTTCCATCACCAGGCGTCCCATATATGTTTATCAATGTTCCGGCTGATTCTACTCGCTCGACGAGCAAATCGCACTTTAACACGGCGGAAGCCGAGGCGTGTTGGCACTTGGTTCACTTACTTTTGGAAAATGGGATATCTAAGGATGACATAGCCATAATCACTTTCTACCGGGCGCAGTTCAATCGCATGCAAGAGCAAGCCCAACGTCTTGGAGTCGAACTAGCAACGGTAGATTCGGTACAGGGGAGGGAGAAAGAAGTCGTCATCATCCTTACGACTCGAACGGATGCAGAACTTGGCACAGCAGAATTCTTGGATGACTATCGCAGAATGAATGTGGCCCTCACCAGATGTAGGCAAGGCCAGTTTGTCTTCGGCCACGCCGAGGCCCTCTCGCGCATACCGTTTTGGAGCCGAGTGTTGTCATGGTCAAGGTCTTTGAATGCCGTGGTCGATCATAATCGCATTGATGAATATTTCCATAATCACCAAGTGCCTAGTGAGTTTTCCAACTTTTCCAGTGCCTTTTAACCTTTCTTTTGTTCTCTTTCGATGTTTTGTAATAAGTCCGGGACGGACTTAAAATAATGAAGGGAGGTGTAAGAGAGTGAGAGTGTAAGAGAGTGAGAGTTTTGTAAGAAAGACTGAGAGAGTAAGTGCTTGAATTTGACTCTTGCTGACTCATCCATTACAGGGCGTGACTGAAGGAAACCTGAGACTCGGAGAGAGGACTCGCGCAGCTGCCCGAGATGGTCGGGCAACGCCACCTGCTCCATCGGCCTCCTTCAACCCCATGATCCTACCGGTCGTCGCTTCCCCTCGTCATACCTACTTCCGTATCAACCTGCCTTACTGTCGTCTCTCATATGCTGATATCGGTGCAATAAACCATGTAACCTGCCAGTGACTAATAAACTATCTATTCGCAAAGTGTATCTATGTTTCACGCTTCCGGGCGCAACGTTGACTATATGGATTGTGAAAGCATAGTTACAGCAACGTGAATGTTTATTTCAGCCTGTCTACACTTTTACGTCTCTGTTTCCTTCCAGACATCTTTCCAGTAAAAATGCCTAGTTTGACATCGCTTGCTGAAGATGTGGCTCTTTCGGGACTTTTTGCGCTGGTAAGTTAGTTTTGCCTTTGTGTATTCGTGAGTTGCCTTACAGTTCACTAATTATATCTATTTTGCATACTTGTAATGAGATTTTTAGATTGTAAACTAATAGAAAAGGAACACTCGAAGATTTGGATGTTCATATGTAGAGGATTCCGTTTACCTATTTTACTACTCTGGCGTTGTCCATGAAAATCTGTTCAAGGCTATTTTTTGAAGCGTTTCTTGATCTAACAACTTCACAAGCATCTTACCCTAGCCAGAGAATTCTTTGTCGTGAACCGTGACGATGTGACTGTAGCTATTCTGAGTCATGCACATTCAGCTATATACGCTTTGGTCTAGAGAGTTTAGGGATTTTAGGGATTTGAGTGCGTTGACGGGACTCTCTTGAAGAGCTCTTAAGATAGACATCAAAAGCGCAGTTCACATTATGTAGCTTAGTGACTGATTAACGTTCGCAGCTGTTTGCGCGACCAATACCTTTCAGTCGCAGGGGCCATCTGTCTTACTCAGACATTCGTGGTTAGCTCGCGCGGAAGATCCACCCACAAAATGGGAGATCGCGAAAAAATGGGTAAGCTGCGGCGCACCCGTTTTTGTCGTGAGTTTCGGTTAACTATACTAAAAACAAGGTGAGAGAAATTCATATTACTTGACGCAACTTTCGCTTAATCTGGATTTCATATGTAATATTTGCTCCATGACGAAGGCGGTCGCCCAAATAGGTTGGAAACATGCGAAGCTGACCCGCACGCGGGGCGCGGGCAGTTGTCAACCATGGGTCGCGCTCGGATGACCACTGACCAACCGTGCCCGCGCCCCATGTTTGACAATTGCCCGGGCGCCGCGTGTGCGTCAACCTTGCATGCTTTCAACCTACTTAGGCAACTGCCTTCGTCATGGAACAGATATTAGCAGCCAAATCAAACGCGGCAATTTGAACTGCGCTCATTTTTTGGCGTCGTTTCCGCTCTTCAGGCTGCATTTATTTCTTCTTGTGTCTTTATTGTAATGGTTTTCTTCAGGTCGTATCTTGTTTTTCAAGCTTCCCTACAAGTTCTTGAAGTTACTTCTGTGCTTATAATGTACTTATAATGATGACTTTTTAGCACGACGCACAAGGGCTAAATCAGGCCACTACTTTGCCGACGTGAGTTAAGGATTACTGCGCAAAAAGCTCCCACCCCACCTTTGAACAGCAAGTAAGCGTTCTCGATGAGGTCGCGTAAGTTCATATTTCTTATTCTTCGACCTTTCTTTGTTTTTCAAGCAAAGCGAGCAGCAGTTTGATATAAGCATATCGGGATCCATTCTGAATACGAACAAACTTACAAACATGCATTCCTTGTTAGACTTTTTGATTTTTCTCTGTCGATTCTCATCTCTCCCATTTTTTTTAGCATGTATCTTCTTCTCCATACAGTACATTCAGTACTCGTATTTTTTGGCTAGTGCTTTCTCAATTCCGGATGACAAGTAATGCAACAAGCACTCTTTCGCTGCTCGCTTCTTCATCCTAAGAATTTCTCATATTTTTTGGAGAAAAAATGGAATTTTATCCGCACTGATCGAAACGCAATCATTCTGGTGATAACAAGGTGATAACTGTGTTTACGAAGCAAGAAATTCGAACGAAGCCCTTATTTTGACTTTTGCAAACTTTCAAAAAAGAGTGTAATTTGTGTTCTTTTGAGTCATTGCGTTGAAGGAATTCATAGCAGTTCCGTTGTTAACGCAACTGACTTACGAATTTTACAATTTTATCTTTTGCCAAGAAAATAGCATAAAAGGGATGCACTGGATTAGCATATTCACAGTTTCTTGCTACAAGCATTACTGACTCTAAACTTGCTTTTGATGATCCAAAATGCTTCCCTTTTTTATGGCTAACAAGATGCTATTGCTTATTAGTGAAATATATTGGAGGCGACCCTCTCAAAAGTTGTGCTCATCTGTACAGTTTGGGCGTTGTACTCTTCCAACATATATTCACTTCGATACCAAATGGCCCGGCTTCTCGTGACGTACGGGCCCCAGCACAGAAGCATTTATCCCTGTCTCGCACCTCAGACATCCACTATCTTCTTGGTTCTCATCGGTGGCTGCGTCCACGGGATCCAGGAGCAAAAATCGTATTCAGCTAAATTCTCCGCTGGTCCATCCGTCCCACGAACATGTCTGACCATATCGTATGAGGTCCTTCTCGAGGACGTTTCGTTTCGCGAGGAATACACTTCGATGTTTTTAGTGTCCATCTATCGTCTTCTTCTCACTATGTAACCGGCCCATCGATGTTTCGCTTTCGCAACGTATTCCGCTGGGTCATGAAGGCAGGACATTCTTCTCAATTTCGTGCTGCGAAGTCCGACAAGATGTTGTTTGTATCAAGTCATCTTCAGATGTCGGGTCATGTTCAGAAAACTGCGCTCAAGCGCTCTTTGGGTGGCCCGTAGAGTTTTTGACGGCTGCAGTGTCGGCTTAAGACTCAGCTGCGTAACAGAGCGTCGAGAGAGCGGTTGAGTCGAACAGACGGCACAGACTGCTCTTCGTCTCCTGTTAAGTTCTTCCCTCAAGTCGTTCTCCATGTTCATCGAACGTCGGAGTAACACGTAAGAAGACGTCTCCATGATGGGGGTGCCTTCCAATTCCATTTCTGCATCTACGGTTCTCCATGAACCGAGTCTTCTTTCGACTTATTCGCAATCCAGTCTTCTTCCCTACTTCGTTTAGTTTCTTCAGCATCGTCTCTGCTACAGTGATACTGCTCTGCTCGAAAAGAGAACGATTTGTCCGCAAAACGAAGGTTCGACAGGAATCTTTCATCAACTCGTATGCCTCTCTCGTTCCAGTCTCGTGACTTCATCACCCAATGTAAGGCCGCGGTGAACAGCTTCGACGAAATTGCGTCGCTTTGTCGGAACCCTTTCCGACTGGAATGGTCAGGGGCGATGGAACATGCATTCGTTACAGTCCTTGTAGCAGTCGGCTAGTGTCCTCACGTAAGCTGGGTCCACTCCTTGATCGACTAGCGCTGACAGGATGGCGTTGTTTCGATGCTGTCAAAAGCTTTCTCGTAGTCGACGAAGGTTAGGACGAGAGGCAATCGGTTTTCCCAGCAAACTTCTACGACCCTCGAAGTTCTGGATGTAGTCCACGCAGCTGATTCCTTTGCGAGATCCAACTTGCCCTTGGCGTTGGGCTTCATCCACTGTCCAGATATGCGAGCGAGGATAATGTTCGTGTAAGCTTGTACACACATTCAGCAGGCATATTCAACGGTAGTTCAGAAGAACCTCCGTTCACCCCTCTCAAAGAGAAAGACGGTTTTTGACGTTTTCCACTGGCCGGGATGTCTTCCCTTTTGAAGGTAAGATATCGGGTGCAAAGCAAGAATTCCGTAGGTGCTGTCCTCCGCTCCCAGAAATTCGACGCAAAGATGGTCTGGTCCTGGAGCCGTGAACTTCTTCATGGTCTGAATCGCTGTGCGCGCTTCAGTAGGTAGATTTCGTGGTAGTACTTCTCCAATGGGAACAACGGGCATCGGCGCGGGTGTTGATGAGCGGAAGAGGTTGGTATGGAGATTCTTCGCCATAGATTCCATCTTAAATCGGGAAAAGTCGGTGTCCCGTTTTCGTTTAATAGTGCAGCCAGCGGCACATGAAATTCACGGAGGTCCCTTCGGCACTTCTTAAAAATTCGTTATCCTTCGGCTGCTTCCAGCATCTTGGCTTGCCTGTTGCGTTCCAAGTTCTTCTCGAAAGTAACTAAGGCGCACTCTACGCAGGCTCGTAATCCTTTCAGAAGCCGTAGTCTTATGTTGGGTCTTCCTCGATGTGCCACAACTTGATATGGGCTCTTGCAGACTATTACCGTCATAAACGACATCCTTTCTTCTGCGGTACTTGGCAGACCTTCTTTTCCAGCTTTCGGCTGAATCGTATCTTCGCTGGAAGGAGGCTGTGATCGGAGCCACTGCAGAAGGATGGAATTACTGAGACATCGAGCAAGCTCCACCTTCGGTTAGTGAGAATGTGGTCGATCTCCGCGTGAGTTGTTCCGTTGGCGATTCTCATGTCCATTAGCGATGCTCTTTCTTTATGAAGATGGAACTGCCATGGGAAAGTCGGGCGGCGGAAAGAGGCCCAAAGAGACGGTTGCCATTTTCGTTCCGGAGCCCATATCCAAACTTTCCGATCCTATATTCTTTTTCTAGTGGCATCCTAATTTTTGCTTTGAGGTCGCCCACGACAAACTTGTAAAAGAACTTCTCGTTGCGGACGACCACCTCCACATCTTCGTAAAAAGCATTTAGTTCTGAATCGTCAGCTGCTGATGTTGGAGAATAACAGTTGATGATGCTAATGGTCTTCTGATGAGGAGGTCAAAGTCGTAGGATGGCTAGTCGAGGATAGTATCTCAAGCGAATCGACAAGATGGACGATAGATGGACGATAGACAAAGCCAATGCCTCCAAGGATGATAGATCGGTGGACGACAAAGCCAATGCCTTCAACGTTTCGTGATGGAACTTTCTCACCACGAATGATGAGGGGCCCATCACTTATCTGTCGCGCTTCCTTATTCCTGGGCTTCGTTTTCTGCAGGGCGATGATGTGGTACTCGATGTGCTCTGCAGCGTCAGAAGAGCGTGGAGGTCGGCGTTCGTACATACTGTCTTGGCTTGTAGGTGCAGAGCACGAGGAATCTCCATAGGCGGTATCCGATGTGCATGGTTTCTTTCTGTTCTTCTGCCTGGCAGACTCTAGCCCTACTCTTGATTTCCACGG